GAAGTAGTTACTCTCTTTTCGCTGCTATTTCGAAAAACACGTTTTCGATTATTTTCTACGCATGATGCGACTTAGAAAACTTCAAGTAGAAGACTAGGATATTCTACATTCAACTCAGTGAATCTTAGCATTGTACCAACTTAATTTGAATATCAACCTTCTATAAATCTTAAAATATGACTTAATACTCAAAAAGGACATATAAAGCCATGTTGATGGCCCGCGCTAAAGCTTGAGCAGTTGAAGTGACGCGATTTTCAGCTGGCTCACATAATCCTATAAATTCCATGTATCACCGTAACATAAAGCCATTTTTGAAGCTTTTGTGCTTTCAACGCAAGACGGAAACAAATGCAGCAAACTAAGCTAGACCGTAAACGGACAATAATAGCGCTTATGAATGAGACAGCTACAGACCTCAACTTCTCAGACACATTTCATCGTAACTTCTGACTCATATATCTATAATAGTAGTCAGTTCTGCCACATTATGAGAAGTCTTGTGCCTTTTGAATGTCGTAACAATCACAATGTAATGAACTTGTTATTATATAGAGCCTAACTCAGAGTGCCCGTAGCGCAATACTGATGTGATAATAGTTAAAATAGTGAATCAAAAGACTCTAATTTAAAATCTACAATTTCAAACGGAAAAAGAAGGAGTTGGAACTAAAATAGTGAAGGCAACTTACCGGATATATCAGTCACGTGGACGAAAGTATCATTAAAAGAAGCATAAATGTGAGCGACACCAAAAACTAGCTCTCCTTCCTTAGCCTGTGGTCCGAGTGTAACCACAGGCTGCTCTTCTTTAGCCTTCCCCTTACGAGCGGGAGCCATTATCCAAGACTAAAAAGAAAATAGAGACATTTGGCACAACTATACTATCGTAAAATTGCAAGGACGAAAAGGGACTTATACTTGGTTATATAGCTGAGATCTTAGAATTAACCAGGCTAGCTCAACAAAGCTGAGCTCAATAAAAAATTCTGACTACTGTAGTCACAATTCAAATCCTAAATCCACAAAAATCTAAGAGCATCAAACAAACTTGATGAACCATCACAAACAGCAGAAAAACTATAATATCATAAATTCATCTCAATGAGAACTTCGGCAATTAGATTTATACTCCCCAAACAAGAAAATTTCCAAAAATTATCTAGAATACTTTTGGGAGGAGGAGAGAGCTTATTAAAGGACGCATGTTACCGTGTCAGTCTACGTATCACAAAAGACCCAAAGTCGACGCGCAGCGCTTCTCTCACCCACTCGAGACTGTAGCAGAATCCCTAGGATTTCTTAATTTTCTTTTTGCTTTTGGGCGTTTGATGTTTTTGTATGCTGAAGGATCTGATGTAGTTTTTGTTTTTTTTTCTTGAGTAAAGGCTGACATGTTATCGGTATAGTTTACATTGGATGTACGCAGGTTTCCATGCTTGTTACATATTTGCAGATGTGCGAATAGAATGTCGCACCTCCTCTGGAATGTGTCCTGCGAATTGGTTAGAGGATGTCTCGATGCTTTCAGAGGATTATGGGTAAGTTGCAAAAGCGAAAAGTTAATTTGTAGTGAAATAGCTTCATGGTTAAATGTTTTCATTTTTAGTTTGTTAGTCAACTAGATAAAGATGAGGAATACGTCGTGGTT